CGTGTCGTTCCTCCAGTCGTATAAAGAAAAAAAAAGAACTGGAATTACCGGCGGAGCAAATAAAGGCACGGTTAATGTTATGGAAATAAGACGTCGTAGTCACGAGGAAAGATAAGATAGATCGAAGACGAATTAGGTGTCAAATCAATCTTCGTTCAATGTCTTACGTTTCTTAACGAATTTCCAAATGAATCAATATACCCCTCTCTAATTTATCGCGCCACGAACGATACCGTTTCTTCTACTTCAATTTACACCGCAAATTACGATCGTTATCTCGCGAACACAATAACACGGCTAGATGTAAGAAGGCGCTGGTAGGATTCTGTACAATGGCTCGAAAAAAGTAAAAGCGGAAGATCCTTTCTCGTCTGTTGATCTGCAGCTACAGTGTGCGTATATGTAGAGAGTAACGCTAAAGATTCGAGTGTATTAGTCGCTACTCTTGCCTCGACGTCTTTACGTAAGTGGCGGTGGACAGTTACGAAACGGCCATTAAATCTCGCTTAGTTCCACGCGTTCCTCCCTAAACAAATCAATGCAATTTATCCCCCTCGCGCGTATGCGGTCGGAAGCCGCTACGTGGCGGAGCGTAATTTCGCCCGCGGACCGGTTGCCGATCAGACGGTTTCGTAAGGCACACCTGCGAGTCATTATCCCTCGCCTACCTTGGCTTTCCCCGGCAATAAAGCGATTCGATTTGCCCTCGCGAAATAACACGCCTCCTCCCCCTTGCTCCTGCGTCAATTCTACCGGAGGAAACGATCGTCGCTAATCCAAATGTTTCGCAACTGGATCGAAGGCTGCGCTGAGAAACAGATTTGCCGATTCGAATAGGTGGAATTTTTTCGAGACCTCGTTTCGGACTTCCCTTAACCCATTTTCTTCCTTTCCTTTTTTTTTTTTTGGTTGCCGGATGAAAAAAATTGATCGAGGTTTGAGATTCGTTGGTTTAGTGTTGTATCGGGTGAAGGACGTTGCGATATTTGCAACAATTGTGGGAAGGATAGGCTCTGTGCCGATCGAAAGGAGCAAATAACTGTTGGAGAAGCAACGATTTATTGAAGGAGGTCTGGAAAGAGGGTACAGTGGTCGCGTGATACGATACTGGGTGTAGATGGGCAATTATTTATTTATTCGCGTCTGTTCGGTATTGTTTAGTCGTAAAATAGGACAAAGGGAATCCTGTAGCCGGATTTATGGCTTCACAAGTGGTTACGTCGCAGGCAACTATTTTGTTTCCAATAGTGTCCTTTTTCGCGTTGCCTGCGACACTCGGTCACCAGGACTCTAGAGGCCATAAATCCTGGAGTCTCCAAGAGTTCAAGGGACAAGTGGGCCTCGATATTTTCGTGAACTACGACACTCGGTCACCAGGACTCGAGAGGCCATAAATCCTGGAGTCTCCAAGAGTTCAAGGGACAAGTGGGCCTCGATATTTTCGTGACTGGGCTCCACTTTACGCGAGAAAGTCCCGACTTCGCGGAGACTCCACAGGATTCCCAAATATTCCTTCGGTCGTTGTGCATCCCTTCCCTAAAATAGCGCGTTTAGGGCGTAACGGGAAGGGGGTGTCGATGCATCGGAGAAAAACTGATTGGTGGAGAATCGTTTTGGAAATCACCAATCAGGGTGATTCGGCGAGGAATGCAACTTTCGTGGAGGCGGACCACGAAAGCTTGCATCAGTTCGAATAGAAGTCTCACCAAGAGACACCTCAATCAGGGTGATTCGGCGAGGAACGCAGCTTTCGTGGAGGCGGACCACGAAAGCTTGCATCAGTTCGAATAGAAGTCTCACCAAGAGACACCCTGTCGAATTCTCATCAATGAGAACAGGTGTAACCAGTCCGGCGTAGCCGTATTAATAAACCGAGAAAACCAAGGTGAATCGACGTGAATTTTATTGAAACCCTTTCCCACGTCAAGTTGCCGTCGGGAGAAGCTTTGCAACTAAACAGGTATTGTACGTGTTATAATTTTATTATTTTATTCTGTACACATGAGCAACAACGTTCGGCATAAGACATAAGACGTTAGACTAGATCGCGTCCAGGCGAGCCACGAGGCCGCACACATAAAAACAAGAAAAAGGTGGCAACTTCTCCGTTGTCTCCCTCCTGATGTCATTGCTTTTCAATCATCAACAGTATGTTTCGTTAGGAGTACGCGTTGAAATGCCAAAGACAATAAAACACATTGCACACGTTAAATTAAATACATCATTATTTAATTAGTTATTTATTTCACACACACTGTTAACGATAACGAGGAAATTAAGAGAGCGCTGAATTGTCGGAGATTGTGGGATTCTTCAAATTTTTCTTTGGCTTCTGTAATTGGAGGCTTGTCTGGAGGATGACGTTGGAGAGTGACGATGACAATGACGACGAAAAGAAGCGAAAGAGCTGAAATGCAGCTACATGGAGACAATGTCAGAGCGAATGTCGGCGCAGGATTGCTGAGTGTGTGGGATCGGAAGCCTCTGTAGTCGTCAAAAGGAGCAAATAACAACGAGAGAATGAAGAAGGCGTGGGTTTGATTCCCACTTGGTCCCTCAAATTCTTTCTCGGCTCCTGCACAATTATAGTAGACTTAGGGGAACAATGGAAAATACGGAAATAGAAGAAAGGGAAAAGCGACTGGCAAGTGATGCTGTGGACCTGAAAATTCACGAGTTCGAATCTCAATCCTGAAAAATTTGAAAAATTCCTCTTCTCCTACACAATGTCGAACTTCAATCCTGAGAATTCACGAGTTCGAATTTCAAACCTGAAATCTTCTTATTTTGAAAAATTTGCAAAAATTCTCTTTCTCTGCACAACGTCGAACTTCAATCCTGAAAATTCACGAGTTCGAATCTAAAAACTGAAACCTTCTTATTTTGAAAAATTTGCAAAAATTCTCTTTCTCTGCACAACGTCGAACTTCAATCCTGAAAATTCACGAGTTCGAATTTCAATCCTGAAATCTTCTTATTTTGAAAAATTTGCAAAAATTCTCTTTCTCTGCACAACGTCGAACTTCAATCCTGAAAATTCACGAGTTCGAATCTAAAAACTGAAACCTTCTTACTTTGAAAAATTTGGCAGAATTCCCCCTTCCTTACACGATGTCGAACTTCAATTCTGTGGAATTTTGGTTTCGGACTTGTGATCGATGTCTGGAAAGTGTATTTAAAATAATAACTTCGTAACAAAAGTAAATAAAGCAAAGCTATATACGTCAACTATAAACCACGCTGTTTCCACACTGAAATTCCTCACACAATCTTTCTTTCCACGCTATCAACTGAAAAAACGAACGAGCGAATGTAAAAACGCCCGCGATTCTACAATTCAAACAAATGAAAATTACCTGAAATAATTCAACTTTTCTTATTTCTCGCGTTATTTAAACAGCGAGTAACTAAAAACTAACACAGTATTTCATCGTTAAAAAAAGAATGGTGAAACTTGGGGTTGGATATTGTTGCGAGTATAAAACGGATCTTTGGCGAATTTCAGAAGGGTGACTGGACGACTGGTGTAAAGCAGTAGGGTTAATTCGAGGGGACTTTTTCCTCGAACCCTATCGACGGAAACGGAGAGAGAGATCTCGGTAGAAACTCGTTCTCGTTCCTCTCTGAATAAATATTTTCCATTTTCTGGTAAACCCGGGCTGGCTGGGCGGTGCTGAAAATAGCAGCGGAAGTAACGGCCGCGGCTTCGACGCCTCGACGCCGACGTACAGGGTGGAACCGTGCGATTTGCCGACCGTTCCGCGGGTTGAACCAGTGTGCCAATTCGCGGGAGCACAGATTTGTGTAAAAAAAGCTCGATATTCGACCTTGCTTCTCTCTTTCTATTTCTCCTCGTTCTCTCGACGAAATCGTTCTCGATAATTCCAAGCGGAGGCAAATCGAGCAGCAAGTAGAAAAAGCGCCGCCATCGAAACGCGGCTCTCCTCGCGAAGGATTCTCAAGCTTTTCAACCGCGACCTTCGCGTTTTCACACGCCATTTCTCCCTTCGACTGCTCGAGTCGGCTCGTTACGATTCTTTCCACATCGCGGGGAAATATGCGAAGGATTTAGCCACGCGGCGAACACCGGGGACGGCGCGTTTGTACGCGATGAGTTGCCTTTCCTTCCTATAAATAGACCCGTCTTCCGGAAGTGCGAGAGCATGTAGGTCAAACGAGAGCTCGGAATGTAGACGGAGGCGTCAAGGGCGTATCAAGGTCACCGCGGGATGCTGTGACCTTTGACTTCTTCCTACTGTCGGAAAAGTCACACCCGCTACGAGTTTATCATCGAACCCGTCTCTCTCTCACTTTCGGCGCGACCTTGGTGCAAACCTTGACATCCTGACCTAACCAATCTTTCTTCGCAGATCTCTGCAGTAATTTAAATTCCCTCGTTTCGCCTCGTATCGATGTCTATTGTTCCGTAGGATGTCGTCGCGTTCGCTCCTCTTGCGCCTCCCGAGCGTCCATTTTCCCGCGGGCATGTGTGTACCGAAAGCGCCACACCCTGTATATCCCCGAATAAACGTGCCGTTTTCGTCGGAGGCGCCGGTGCTTTCTCGGAGGCACGAATAATAGCGCGCAGTTTCAGCGCGTGCACGTTCGAATCAGCTGGATATTTCGGGTGTACCGCGGGGAAAACATCTCCCTGGGTTTCCGAGTCAACAAACGAACGACATATAAAAACAGAGTTTTTATTTTTTTCTTTCTTTCTGAGGAGGAACGTGTATTATTCCATCTTTAAAAAACGGCGGATTCGTTGACCCGCCGGTTTATACAAACGAGCTTCGTCTGACAATTTTGGAGAAAACAGAAATATGTACTCGTCAACGCGCGCATGAATAAAACACGCGGGTGCGTTATCACAGGCGGCGATCGATTTCCCGTACACTCGAGCCACGCCGAAGTCGACCAACAGGAACCGTACGTCGTCGCCACCTCCTCCTTCTGTTTTATGCACGCTCTCTGAACGATTTGTTTGCGTTTTATTGTTACAGTGGTCTACTGCGATTACACGGCATCCGGAAGGTCGCTGCAATTCCTCGAAGAGTACATCGCGAAGGAGGTGCTGCCATATTTGGGCGACACCCGTGCGTCCACGTCTATCTGCAGCCTCCAGTCTTCTCTGTTCAGGTGAGTTGAGCGCGAACGACGCGCGTCCCGCAGTCGGTGGAAGCGATGTGGAGAGGTCGTGAAATCAGTCATGGAGATGAAGTAAATGAATTCGAGTTCAGAGTTGGTCGATGTCGATACAGACTTGGTTCCTCCGTTGTAGTATATTTAACCCTTCGGCATTTTTATCCCGAGTGAGACTCGGGCATTGCGTTAAATAACGAAGAGTTTAACTCGTGAGACATTTTTAGGGAGGAGATGACGTAGGGGTATGTACACTGTGCTTGAAAAATAATCACACGTGTAGCTGTGAAATATGAGTTTTATCGACACTCAGATTGTCAAAGGGTTAAAAGATTGTCTGCCCTTTAATCAGTCACAGATACAGGTTAATTTTTACCAATATGGGAATTATTATTGAGCAGGAGACGACGAAGGCTTAATCACTTAACGCTCATGCTCGTGTCTCGCACGTGCACAACTAATCGTTCAATAAGTGCAATTTTCTTTCATTTTTTATACTACGTTATCTTTTCTATTGCGACAAAAGCCGTGAGTTACAGTGTTATATGTAATGAGAAACTTATTTCTGTACATCTGGGAAATAATAAAAAAAGAAACAGAAATTGACTATTTTTGGAAGTTGAGAAAAATATGAACGTTAAGAATTTAATACCACATATCTCGAGTGAAAGATAGTAAGCACAAATAAATGGCGACCCTGAGTATCGCCACTTAATGCTTTAATTTACGACCTCGTTATATCGCTTCCATGGACTGTACCTGTCCATCCGAGAGTCTTTTTACGACAGTTGCTCTCGAGAGTACTCTCGAACACTCTCAATATCGCGTGCAAAGATAAATTCAACTCTCAAGAGCAACTCGCGATAGTTCTACTCTGAAATAGACGCGTACCCTCAGTTCCCCTCTCCCGTTCTAACTCCTTAACTATTGCATTGCTATCGCGAGGTCTGGACCATCGGACGATCTCGATAACGATCGAGGTCGCGGCGAGAGACACGCGCGTACGCATTTATGCACGAACGTAACGCATCCGCGTCCACCAGCTGTCCACTTCCCAGAACCAATTCCAGTTACTGGTCGGCCTATTAATCGTTGGAATTGAAGCTATTCTCGACGAGGCGTTCTGCCTTTCCACTGCTCGTCCATTTCAATTCCTCGCGATAGCGCATAATACAGGATGTCCCTCTGATCGCGATTCAACCGGAAGGTGAAAAAGCAGGTGAAAAAAGGAAGAACAAAACTTTGTCCTACGAGCCTTCGTTTTTGAGAAAAATCGCTTGGAGAAAATGAGTAAAATTGTAACATTCTACAAAGAACGTGTAAGAATTTATTTCACAGATCTGTATACAGTAACGTTCACAACATTTCGCGTCTCGAGAGGTAATACTCTTGTCCCTGTTTACGAAACGACTCTAATCGAATACAGAACGAACGAGATTAATAGCCCAGGCGGACAGTAAGTAAGATAGTCGCAGCGGCAGGAAGCGAATCGTGACATTGCCCATGGTTATAAATACAAACACGAGCAAAAACAGACATCCGTCAAGTCGAGGCTTACAGTTACCACAACCGTGTCACCCCGAGAAACTTCAAAGTTGTTTTTCCCCAAAAAACCAAGCGTTGCGTCCAAAAACTTCGTTCTTCGCATTCGACTTATTTTTTCCGGAAGAATCAGCTCTGTACAAATTTGCATGGCAATTATAAAAGCACACGGTACGCGTGTTGTGTGCGAATTATTAAGCCGCGCGTATCGAAACGTTAGAAAGTATCGGGGAGCGTGTGGTATGAATTCACGATGGTCGATTTCCTACGCGAAATTAGCATACCGCGTTGCGGCGCGCAACGTACGATTCCGGTTGACGTACCGTTTCCGTGGTAAACGAGACTCGTTTTCTGCGCCACTCGACCGTACACGAGCCTTTCTATTTCGCTGCCGGCCCGTGGAATTTTGCCCCGCGATTCCAACAAACGACGCGGCCCGTTTCGTTTTAACATCGGGGAGCTCGGTCGTCGAATTATTCGCCAGGCTGACTTGTTACGTTGGCACAGTTTTCGATCGAAACGCGGTGGAGGCGGCTGTCCCGCGTGAGAAGCGACCCCGTTTATCCCTTAAATCTTACGCGGTCGAACGTGTAGGGGTGGTTCCGCTCCGCGTCCCGTTCCCTGGCGCTGATGTCCCAGATCAATATCCAACGAGTCAAGCCCCCAAACCACTTACCGGCCGACCAGCCGCACCACCGAGACAATAACAACGCGTTTCAACGGCGGCTCTCGTGCCCTTGTCACGCGACTTGAAAATTAACTTGGAATTTTCTGTTCGAGATATGGAAAGAAAAATTGTTGCTTTTTTTGACTGCATGGCACACGAGTTTAGAGTGATTTTTGCATACGTGAAATTTTGTATAACAGTGTTTCTGTGAAATCTGTAAATGCGAAGGCTTCGTTGCTGGAAGGTTAGAATTTTTTTATCAATTACCCCTTGAGAAATGCATAGGACGAGTTTGGAATGACTTTTGCATACGTGAAATTTGTGTACGTTAACAGGGTTGTAGGTTTTGATTTAATGATAGGAGGATAGTGCGTGATCTGGGTTACTTAGTACCCACACAGTAAGTTCTTTTTTAGTCTTTATTATTTTTCTGGCTCACGAGGTGTACAGTTTACTTATCGCTCACTGACTATCTGCTTCACTGACTCTGACTCTCCAAGTCACCTCGCGAGCTTCTTTCTCACCCTCTTCTTTTTCCTGATTGGTTACCCCCAACTTATTGGTTGTAACCAATCAGGAATTTTGTCTTTAACCCTTTCGCGACGGCGGAACTAGGCATCGGTACGCCACTAACGAACGGGTCGTCGTGCCATTAGTGCACACCATGAGTGTCTCGCGTTTTTCGAGCTCCCAGTGTGTCCGTGTAAAATCTTAGAGGATTTCGTTGGAACAGCAGAGGACTTATTGGATAAAGGGAATGTTGTCGAGTCCTTGTTCTGTATTTTAAAATAAATCTTCACTTTGAGTTGTTGAAGCGACGCGCTTAGAGGATGCCGGATATAACCGGCGCTAGTCGCGAAAGGGTTAAA